CGACAAAATTTAAAAACGATATCTGTTGTACTCAGTCTCGGCTACAACGTGGTATATATCTTGATTTAAAATTTTTCCTGTCGGGTGGGTTCCAATTGAAAGTATCTCTTGCATTTTTGCCCTTAACGCGAAATCGAAAACCTCGAGCATATGTCGTTCACTGGCAAATATATCAGTTATGTTATGTTCTCCTCGATCTGCGCTATAAAATGATACATGAGTTATCCAGATTTATTCCCGTTGAATAGGTAAAAAATTCACATTTCTGAACATATACCTGGATTACCTGGATTGGCCAGGCTATCAAACGTTTGTAACGTTGCTGGCCACAATGCTCGCGTCTCCGTTCGCACTGTTTTAGCCTTGATTGTAGCCACCCCGCTGGCTAGGCGAGCAGGCCAAGTGAGTACAACCGAGTACTTAATTAGTTGCCGTGAATACTTTGCATAATTAAACGTAGCCAAATATCAATCCAATAAATATTCATAACTCTACAAAATAAGCATTCCGCCGATCGCTAACCGCGATCAACAAAACAACCGCTCGATGTGTAAGTAACAATGATAAATATATCAAATGAAAATCCCACTTCCGTCACTTGGCGAACGGTCACTTAGTTCGTACTTGGCGAATTGTCACCTTGCCTTTTGATTTTACTAACCTTAAATGTACCAATATTTGTTTACGAGTTAGTAGATAGTTAATAGATACCTCAGCGGAGCGTGACTGGACCGCATGTTTTTAAATAGGTGCCTCGGACTAAGTCTAACAAGAAAAGATCACAAATTTACCCGCGCCTTTCGGGATGAGACATATATCGTTTTATAGAGATAGTGTGGCTGATCATGGATCTGCAAATAATTTTTGTTGCGGACAAGGGGGACGCGAGATATGACGAGGAAAAGGTTTTCAGTGTATTGAACTAACGTTCTGACTTTCAATTTGGCACCGGCGGCTTGGCCTGGCTGATAGTGCGCTAGTCTAAATGGCGGATGCTAGGGTTTGTACGGGATTCTGGAATCCCGAGATTTCAGTTCTAATTCCGATCAGGGGATTTAAGTTTTGAAAAATCCCGTGATCTCGGGATTTAATAAAACAGGTCAGTTAGCGTGAATTTTGATAGTATGCCCATCTTGAAGCAAGCCTCGGTCATTCCCATCTCATTCATGTGCAGTCATCTTTGCTGTTTGTCCTTTATCATTGATGAATAGCTAACAAGGAAATAAGGAAGGAAATAGACGCAAGCTGGACGAATGACATGATCAGCGGCAGCTCGATGAACTTTTACGTAACACTTCATTGAATATTCAATCGATTATTCTGCCTTCCATTGGTTTATATCACGCTCATGTGGGTGCATTTTGAAGTAGACTGACAGAGATAATCATATTTTCTAATAAGAACCAAGAGTAGAAAAGTTGGGTACTTTTGCTGATTAGGAAGAGCGCACGCTCGTACATGCGTCAGGTCAATCCGTGGCGTGCGCTTAGACTTATGCTGAGGCTATCCCTTTTCTCTCTTTCGATGGGCGTTCACATATATAGACAACGAAATGAGTTTTGCTGTTAAGGAGGAGTTCTGCTCATTTCGTTGTCTATATATGTGAATGCCCATCGAAAAAGAGAAAAGTGATAGCCTCAGCCTAAGCCCAAGCACACGCCACGGATTGGTCTGACGC